TTTGAAATAAACAAAATAATTTACATGAATCTATTTATACTTTAATTAACTCAAATTATAAAACCGTTTAAAACCGTGGTGCACAATTATAACCTCGTTATCTAAATTGCATCAAAAGTTGTTAAAAAATAGTAGTAAATTCCGTTTTCAAATAAAATTTATTACATTTAAAAATTATAAAAAACATTCTAACGAATGCCTAGAGGAAATACACTCTCCGATGAAGAAAAAGGCAAGATCGAAGCCTACAGATCATTGCGTTTATCAAACAGGGCAATTGCTTGCAAACTGAGACATTCACCACGTTTGATCAATAATTTCGTAAATGATCCAACAAATTATTGCACGAAGCATCGAAGTGGTAGAAAACCTATACTTACAGCTCGCCAACAGCAATGAATTGTGCATGCTGCTAGTAACCGTACAATCTCCGCGAGACAAATAGGCGCTGTTTTGGGATTGAACTGCTCAAGATGGACGGTGAATCGTGCAATTAACAAGTTAGGCATTCTTAGATATGCAAAAAAACGCACATCTCCAGCACTAACTGAAGCGCACAAACGCATTCGTCTTCAATAGGCCAAGGATCACATGACTTGGGAAAAAGAATGGCGAAAAATTGTGTGGTCCGATGAAAAAAAATTCAATCTTGATGGTCCAGACGGCTTCAATTACTACTGGCATGACATAAGAAAAGATAAAATATTTTCAAAAAGAAGGGCTATGGGAGGCGGAGGAGTAATGATTTGGGGTGCGTTCGGTTATTTTGGAAAGACTTCAAATAGCTTTATTACTACTAAGTTAAATGCAGAAGGATATAGAAACTTGTTGAATGGTCATTTGAATGATATTTCACAAAAATTTGGTAACACTAATTTCATTTTCCAGCAAGATAATGCTCCAATTCATAGAGCAAAGTCAAATATCTCATGGTTTACCAGCAAGAAAATTCAATTATTAGAATGGCTAGCGCTCTCACCTGATTTAAATCCCATCGAAAATGTATGGGGCATCTTAGCAAGACGTGTTTATGCAGAAGGGAAACAATATTCGAATGTCGATGAATTAAAAAAGGCAATTGTTCATGTTTGGAAGAACATATCTCTTGCAGATCTTAGAAAACATTCGGAAAGTATGCCTAATCGAATATTTGAAGTTATTCAGAATGGCGGCAATAAAACAAAGTACTAATAAAAAATTCAAGTAGCAATACAAAACATTATGGAATTTTGTAGAGTAAAATGAAAATGAAGTTATAATTTTGCACCATAATTTTTCTGAAATTTTCAAGTCAGTTAACGAAACGAAACCAGACTCTATTACAAATGAAATATTAATCAAGTAAGATATTAAGCAATTGAATAATTTAAAAATGATTATTTAATTATTTGTAAGAACTTGATTTTTCGGTGAGGTTATAAATTTGCACCGCACTGTATCTTATATCTTTTCTTATATCTTATATTTTCTCATACATCCCTTATCTTTTTTTTGTATTAGGTGTCCACAAACAGCTAATGCGTACAAAGGGGGGTAGGATGTTAAAGACAGCAAGGTTTGACTATCTCTCGTTCTCTATCTATCGTAAACCTTAATATTTTTTAAATCTTTGAATCCCGAATCATAAAAAGTAAAATAAGAAACTTTTTTTTAAACTCTTTTAACTTAGAAATTGGTTATCTGTAACCATCTTAACTTCTTTTAACTTAGAAATTGGTTATCTGTAACCATCTTAACTTCTTTTAACTTAGAAATTGGTTATCTGCAACCATCTTAACTTCTTTTAACTTAGAAATTGGTTATCTGTAACCATCTTATTTCCGCAAGGATTAGTCTTGTCACCAATTTTATTTGTTATTTTCATTTAAAGATTTACTACATGTAATAAGCAAAGAAAACAGCTGTAAGATTTTTGCTGATGACACTATCAGTGTCATCAGCAAAAATCTACAGCTGTTTTCTGTGTCATCACTGACACAAATTTTGAGCAATTTTAGCTCACTTGCTGCTCAATTTTATCTTCAATCAGATATTGACCAATTTGTTTATTGGACCAAGTCTTGGCTCATAGAGATAATTGCAAAGAAATGTAAGTTCATGCACTTTGGCCAAAAAAAATTAACTTTGAGTACTCAATGGAGGAATTGAGCCCTTGTTTAATAACAACTTAAACTACATTGGAAGCAACCACCTTGGGAATACAAATTACCAATGATCTAAAAGTAGAAATCAAATCCAACATTACCTCATGTAAAGCAAATCAAATGCTAGACCTAAAACACACTTTCCAATTTCGTGATGCTTCCTTATGAAAACAACTCTACTCCACCTATGTCCATCCTTTTGAGTTTGCAGTTCCTGCTTAGAACCCCCATATGGTGAAGGATGAATAAATTATTGAGCTAATACAGCGCAGTGTCAAAAAGATACTAAACAAACTAAAAAAGTTAGACTACAAGTCCAGAAGTTTACAACGTGGCCTTACTTCTCTAGTCGACTGTCGTTAACGAGGTGACCTCATCTAAATATATAAAATTAATAATAACATCGACATAGTCAAATGGCTCTTTTGTCTTATCACAATACCACCATGAGCTACTACTACTACTACTACTACTACTACTACTACTACTACTACTACTACTATAACCGTTGCCGATGTGCCCTCGCGTTGCAAAATTTGAATTAGAGGCAAGAGGTGCGTAAAAACGATGTTTTAAACAATTTTTTTTAAAAATGCTTCAAAATAAATATTATTTTTATTTCAAATATTTTTTTTTACCTGGAAGATTTGTACCGCTTATAAAAATAACACTTTTCTAACATGTTTCTTCTACTTGCGTAGCATGGGGGCTAAACATGATTCCCCTCGACATGAATTAATATCGCTAACAAACAATAATTGTTTCTGAAAACCTAGTAAATTCCCCCTAAAAGTACCATAGTTCCACCAGTTTTTATATTTTCCTCTCATAATTTTTTTCTACTACTCGTAATTTTTTTTTCCGCGTATTTACTTGAGTGATGTTACTGAAATGTGTTTAATCGGGTTGACTCTGTGAAAACTTTTCAGTGGCGAATGAACAAACCGAGAAATTGATGTCCTTTTTGTTTCCGCATTTACATGCGCAAGTAGTTCAATTTTCTAATAAAGTTTTCCAGTTCTACTATTTTACTAAATAAATTAAAAAACCTTTTTTGTTATTATTGAATTATGCATAACATAACTATTTACCTAAATTTCTGAGTTTAAGTGGCATGGGGGCGCACATTTTTTGTGTAGCTTATAAATGAAAAAACTTGAAATTTTTTTATTTTTAAGTGTAAAGTGACTGTTTTGTGAACATCAAACAATTATTTATAGTTAAAAATAATATCATTTTAACTAAAAAGTGTCTTTTAAGTTATTCGACCCTATTTAGTTTTTTTAAAATAAGTCAATAAACGAAATGATTTAAAATTGCTGATGCTCCATGGCCAATCATCATTACCCTTATCAACGGCTGCAAACAGGGTGGGTTTGCAGTAATCAAATTTTTTTAAATGTTTTCCGTGCTAGATCAAGCATGTCTGAGCTTTGCGACATTTCGGACCTTGTTTGTTCTTTGTGGCGCTTAACTATTGATAAGTTTGCAGATTTTATTGGAGATATATTGTTTTCAGTTTACTTTAAAACTTTGCTCCAACTTGTTTTTCTCCACAGTCCAACAGTATGTATTGGGTAATAAAATTGTTTGAGTCTCTTATAATGCAAAATCTTACAAAACACAGTTGCTGAATATGAAGTTTAAACCGATTGAATTTTACTATATAAAATATTAACTGAATGCTGACCAGGTCAATTTAATTCTTAGGATTAGATTAGGATTAACTGTAGCTGTGCCTTAAAATGCTACTAAGTGCTTAAGTTTAAAAGTATTTACATGAGAATATAACTTTTAAAGCCGTAGAGCAGAATTGGTTTGCATATTGCTTCAAAAAATTAGATATTGAGTAGGATGAGGACAATTCTGTATGTTGAACATGATTGACCTTTTTTTTGTTTGTTTGAGTTTTCTCCGAAAATTTTTTATTTAAGTAATTCATTACCTTTCTTAAGCAGTAGAACTCTGAGATTAGTTTTGAGTTGTAAAGGTGCTTTTTTCTTTTTTTTATCACAATATATCAATCTCGATTTATAGCTTTTTAATTATATAGTTATCAGTGATAACTACATTACATTTTCAACTGCATGTTTGACTTATTCACTTCTGATAGGAATAACTTTTAAGTTGAGATTAATCACAACTGTCTCTTTGGCCAGTAAAGCCCCATAAGTGCACAGATATGTAAATTTAAGTACCTATTTATTTGTCGACTTAAAAACCGCCTTAAAAAGTGCCCTACTACGTTGTTGAAAGCAAACATCTTAGTAGTGCCCTACTAAGATGTTTGCTTGAAGCAAGCGCAAATGAGTCAGTTACCTCGTAGTTAATTCAATCTCCATTTTCTTCAAGTTTTTTCTTTTAGTTTCCGGTTGTCTCAAAACATTTATTTTAGTTCCTTATAAAATATAAAAGCTTTAACAACTTGTAACTGCGTTATTCATGAAGTGTGCTATAGCTTGGGCAAGTAGTCACTCGTCCTCATTAAAAAAAAAAATAGAAACAAGCGACTCGGTTAATTTTTAATGCAGATAAATATGCATGAAAGACGAATTTAAAAAAATATGATTTTTTCTTTGTAATTTATTTTGCTTAATGCAGCTAAACGTAGGAAAGGTAAATATAGCTATTATTATAATACTATAACAGTATATACAATATAGTACAGATTATTATAATACTATAACAGTATATACAATATAGTACAGATGAATTATCTTAATTTTTTAATTTATTGTGACGTACTGTGTACGATTTATTCTGTTTCAGATCTTTCAGATTTAGGGCATTTTTAAATTGTTATTTGCTTCAATACCGATAAAGGTCTCAAAACAACTTTGACTCAAAACAACTTTGTACAACATTATGCATAAAAAATATATTTTCTAAACTAAAGTTTTGAACATTTATTCAATTAAAATAAGTTCTGTCGCTATAAAACTCTTTTTTTCTTTATTTCTCTTGCTTTTGACAGTTTGTGTCGTTTAGATATGAACTGCTTCTTTAAGTCTACCATACTCCTAATTAAAGGAAAACAAGCCTAGGAATAATTTATAAACAGTTAATTTCAATGAAAAGCAAAAAAAGTATTATCGCAATACCAAGATAAAAAAATTAAATTTTGCTTATCTAAAATTTTATAAACATAAATTTTATAAACCTACCTGCAACAAACAGGAAAATTCAATTTTCGGTGACGATTGAAATGTTCATCAATTAATCTATCATTAAAACAATATAGTAGCACAATATAGATATAAAACAATAAACCACAAAAACTGTTTTGAAATGTTACCAGTGAACAAAATTAATTTTACCTCAATTACGTAGAGCACCAGTTTCTCGCTAACTGTTGACTAATGATTAATACAGTAAAATTCAAATAATAAAAATTGACTGAATCAAATCATGTTTCAACAGTAGACAATAGTTCATCAACTAAATCCGAGGTTCAATAGGTTCATCAACTAAATCCGATGATTTAATGTTTTATTTACAAAAAATATTTAAATTTGAATGGTAAATATTAGGTATTTACGAAACAAAAATTAGTTAAATAAAACAATCATTAATAAAATAAAATTGAAATAAATGCGATAAAACTCACCTGTTTAAAAACCTGGTGTCACGTTACCTGTTCTTAGATATGAATGCGACTTTTGTATTAAACGTTATCTAATTAAAAAGTTTATAAAAAATATCAAAACAGAACTTTAAAAGAAAAATCTTACATGCATAGTACCTGAATTAAAAAAGTCACATATATAGTACCTAATTCACAAATACTATAATAAATATAAATAAATGCGGCAGTGGTGTAGTGGTAGAGCGCTCGCTTCATAAACGAGTGGTTCCGAGTTCGATCCCCACCACGTCCCTGGTAGTACCGCGCTCAACTCGTTTCTCCGCGCAGCGGCCTTGTTCGTCAAGGTTCGTGTTTCGGAGTTATAGAGTTGAGAGAGGGTTATAACCACAAATAAGTAGCCTCCTCATCTGTAGTGGCCTTCTCGGCCTTGAGGAGGTGAATAAAAATAAAAAAAAAAAAAATACTGCTTTCTCCTGTGTAGTATAATAGTTCCTTAATGATAAAAGAGGCTTATGTCAAGTAATTGCCTAAATTTAAAAAAGTTTTTTGTATATAACTATTCATTTTTGTACAAAAAAACATTTTTGTACAACTAAACATTTTTGTACAAAAAAACATTTATTATGTTTGCAAATAACACAACGTGTTATTTGCAAACATAATAAATGCAGAAATGAACAAGCTACTTTCATCTTCTGCCCCACAAATCAAAACTATTAAATTTTACATACTTAAAAAAAATCCAGTAAAAACATTTTTATTTGAAGACACCTAAATAGTAAAAAGACTATTTACAAAATGTTTATATTGTTTCTTCTCATTTTTATCGATAGCAAATCAAACTTTTTTACAAGACCCGCTAATTCTGCTTTCTTTAACGATAATACAAATTTGTTTTATTGGTTCATTTGAATGTATTACGTTAGATAAATGCAAATAAATAGGCTTTCTATCTTCTTCAGTAAATTCTTTTCGGCTTCTTTTGAAAGATCTGTTATCATGCATTATCTGGAGATGACGGAATATAGTCATCTAGGTTAAAATCTTCAGATTTAAATAGATCAACTTCCTTAGCAGCGTCAATCAAACTTTCAATATTGTCACTTCTTTTAGTAACGTAACCTTCTTCTTTTTTTCGAATTTCTTGTGAAATAGGGGAGCTTAATGTACAAGAAACTTCATTTACAAAATCAATATAGTCAATATTAGGTTCTGTTCCTGACAACTGTTTAGATTGCATATCAAACTTTATCAACTACTTTTTTAACCTTTTCATCACATACAACTTCTGAATAACTTGACAACTTTTTTTTACATCAACTACTTTTATAGAACCCTTGTTTATTTCAGGTTCAAACAAATGCATGTTTTTTTCTGCTGATCTGTTAATGATCTTTTAATTAAACACAGTTGATTAATTGTGCTTGATACGGCATTACATTTGTCAAATAAGGCATATTAGCTCTAAGCCACTTCAAACTGTGACATAAATAATGTGCAACATTTTGCTTCAAACAGGGAAAACTTTGATATATTTTTGTTGTAAATTTCCTTACTAATATTGGTGTCATTCTAGTTAAAACTTCTTTTACTTTTTTGCCTAAAGCACGATTCCAAAATAAATGAAACTGGGTAGTGATCATCAATGAGTCCATTATAACTTAAAAACATAATTCCATTACCTGTGGATGAGAAATTCCATTGAGTTTTTTTCGAAATACTAGCTTTTATACGATGTTTTAAATTTTTAATAATGACTGTGTAACAATTTTCTTTATAAAATGCTTAACAAAACTCACCAAAAGTCATATTGGCTGAAGCTTCTGGTCTTGTGACATTATTATGAAAGGTGTATGCAAGCAAATAAGACCTGACCAAAAATAATTGGACTTTGTAATAATAAAATTAGAAAACTTAGAAGCTTTATTAGCATCTTTTGCACTTTTAACGTAGTCAGATTTGTCTAATGTATTTATTTATTCAGAAGAGAGGAAGTTGTGGAAATCATACATGTCTTTTTCATGCTGTCTTTCCTAAATATCTTTTCACAAACTATGCTTTCACTTTATAGAGATTTTTAACTTGAAATATTCTTCATTAGAAATAATTTCAAGTTTTTCTTTAGAAATAAAAAAGTTTAATACAAGTTGTAGAGAAAATAAATATGTTTTTCTTGTTCCTGGCTGCTTTTCATCTTTTTGCATCTTTAACATCCAAGAAAAAAAAATACATCCAAGATGCTTGCAATTTACATTGTCATTTGCTGCATGGCATACAGCTCCTAAAACAACATTTTATGTTTCAAGGCAGTGCAAAGTGGTTTGATACCACCCTCAATGCTTTGCAGCCATATCAGAAATTCATCTATTAACTTATCTTCTTCAGATGAAGTCATATAAAACTTGTCTTTACCATCATCAAAGTCAACATTTAACTCAACAGAACCAGAACCATCTTTTTCATTTTTTGCATCTGCAACATTGAACTGATTATTTTTTCTACTTCTAGCATCAAAACTATTACTTGATTTAGGGAGTCTTTTATCTAAATATTGTAAACTTAGCCAGTCTTGGTTTTCATCGTCTGAATCACTACACAGAAAACTATTGTCATTATGAATTGCTCTGTTAAAATTATTTTTTAACAAATCATCTTCAGCCAAAGATTCAGAAGAAAATTCATTTGAGCTCAGATCTGAACTCTCTGAATTTTATCAGAACATGTCTTGAAAACAGCATTGCTTTTTTTAATTCGTCTTTAAAAACTAGTAAAATTAATTATAAAACTAAAACTATAACGTAATAAAAAACCTAATTTTCACAAACAAAACATGTCACCTTATAGCAATTGCTATTAGATACAGGTTCTTTAAGGGTTTTCAATTTAGACAACAATCAATTCAGTATAAAATCGTTGATATTTTTATCTTTTAATTCCCATATATATTTTGGTGTCTTTGAATACTTTTTATTTTTAAATGATTGCTTATGATTTGCAAAATATTTTCCTCTAAGAATGTTCATGATAAACAATATATTGGTGTGAATGGAAAAAAACATTTTTTCAATCCTTTAAAAATGAAAAGTATTCAAAAGACACCATGCTGTCAAAATATATACAATGATTTTATACTGAATTCAGTAAAAAATCATCAAAATATTGATGATTTTATACTGAATTGGTACAGCACCTGCATTTAATAATATTTCCAAAAATTGCATACTATGCCTACAAGAAAAATTTAAAATTATTACACGTGCAAACTAAGAATTTTATTTAAAAAAAAAAATCGGAATTAATTTCTAAATGCAGGTACGAAAATAAGTTTCTCCTAAAACACTATAAAAATAAGTGAGCTCAAGTAATTGTTACATTAAATCCGCCCCTTTTAAAAATTATTTTTTAAAAAAGCAGAAGTAATTAATACTAAATAGTTCTTTTTATAATAGTGTCAACATATTCCACAAATGTGTGAAAATTTGCAGTAGTTAAGACATTTGCGATTTCCTGTAATTTAATTTTTGGCATAAATTGAAGTTTTATTAATTTGATTATTATTATTATTTCTGATGAAACACAGTATTGAATACAAAAAAATTTTTGATGAGTCATTTTCTATGAATTTATATATATATATATATATATATATATATATATATATATATATATATATATATATATATATATATATATATATATATATATATATATATATATATATATACAGAATCAATTTAATTGCTTCTTAGATTTTCGGAAATTTGATCCCAATGCCAAATATAAACAATTTAATTGATCTTTTGATAACAAATTTACAACTCAAAACTAGACATATTTTTTAAAAAATTAAAAATAGTAATTCAGACCTTTTTAGCCGATGACAACTCTAAAATTTATTCTTTCCTTAATTTTTTATAGAACCACTAGCTTTGTAAATGTTGTGTGTGAAACTGTGTAATTAAAAAGAAAATAACATCATAATAATGAGAGTGTGTAACAAAAATATGTACAAAAAAGTGGAATTTGAAAACTGTTAACAGATATAGTAAGTGACTAGGGCTTCAGCCCTGTCCCTTCTAAAAATGAAACTTTTTGCATACCTGGTTCTGGCAAAATAATAAGGTTTACCAGGGGTTTATAGCTGGACCTAAAAAAACATATTATAATTTTATGCTTACATTTATTATTCATTAAACACTGGCATATATTTATATATTTTTAAACTCTAATTTACTTCCAACAAGATTGCAGGCAACCACTATTAAGTTATGAGTTACTTTAGAATAAATAATAAGTTAAAATACTAGAAAACGGTTAACTGAATATTTAAAAAGTTGTAGGTTGTATAAAAAAGGAAAACATGAAGATGGGTAAGAGTTATAAGTTGTTTTTTATATGCAAGGAAAAAAACTGGATTAATAAAAGTTTTTATAGCATGAAAGGACAAATACAGTAAAAAGATGTAACTTATTGAATAAGAAGCCAAGCAAGAATGAGTTTTGGTTTATAGTAATAGAGATGATAGCTTATTTGAGCATTGACCATGATAGTATTTGCAGAAAAAAGAAAGAAATGCAATCTTACAACAATGGGAGAGTGGCTCAAGCTTGGCAGAAAAAACAGGTCTACTTACATTTACAATTTACTATTAGACTTTGTCTGAGAGTAAGAGGATTGTTATTCATCAATATAGTGGCAGGTATATATATTCATCAACATAATGCCAATATTATTGCAATTTTTTTTTGCAGTAAATGAGTTTTGTTGTCTAACAAAAATTGGAATTTTAAGTCAAGAATGTAAATCTATAAGCCTTATAGCAAGCCCTAGGCTGTTACAGAAGAGAAATCAGATTATTCTAAGCAATCAAAACGTGAAAGTTTTTTTTTGTCAAAACAAGAGTATAAAGTTGAGTTGTAAGCAAATAGAGCCACTTTAGATGTAAAATTTTGGTACCCTTAAAGTTAATTGAAATATAGAAGAGTGTAGAATAACTTTAATACTTCAGTTTGAAGTTAATAAATTCAAAACCTTTATATAAATAAACTAATAACATAGTGAAGACTAATCATAGGAAAATTAGAGAGGTCAGAGTGTTTTCTAGAGTTTTGAAAAATTGGAACCACTTGTTTAGCACTTTTAAAAAGTTTAGCAAAAATTGAAGAGAGTTCTAGAGAAAACTTTTTTAAGACTATGATGGAAATCTTGTCTGTAGCACAAACTGTAGAAGTGTTTATATGAGAATTAAAGTTAGCACTGGACCCGAGTGATTTCAATGTTTAACAATGGGTTAATCTGTTGAACTGGCAGGAATAGTATGGCCATAAGATTCAAGAGTCAAATAAGAGTAAGATTTTTTGCAAACAACTCTGCTTTATTCTGTGGTGAAGAAGACCAGACCCATGAATTAGAGATTAAATGTTAGACTTACTTTAATGTTAATGTAAAGGTAATGAAATTGTAAAGTTGAAGACTAACTAAAAGTCTCAAGAACCCAACATCTGAGAAAAGATTTAGAGAGTAACAGAGTTTAATATCAGACAGGATTTTTTAACATTGGCTTCTTAGAACAATAATAAGACATTGTTTCTTAAGAAAGAGATGTTATTGTAAAAAAAATTATTACGGTTTAATAAAGCAACTGCTCAAGATGGTGTAAAATAATCCAGGAAAAAAATTTCAGAAGGAACAAAAGCTTCCAGTATCATACATATTATGGATATAAACATATATGTTTGCTAACTACTTAGATCATGGCACACAAAATCCTTTCATATTTATATAAACTTTAGTAATTATATGATGTAGTATTTGCTGATTAAGAAGATGATCAGATGATGATGATGGGACTTATGATTATGATGATCATGTTAATCGTAATGATGTTTACATATGCATATATATACAAAATATAACATGAATTTTGAAAAAAAAAAAAAAAAAAAAAAAACTTTAGGATGTATAAATGTTTATGCAACCCCCATCACAAGCCTAGCCCTAGTCACAACCGTGCTCCGGCTACATTTTATCAATTCTAGCCCTGGCCGTGGTCAAGTATCAATCCCGGTTGCTTACTAACAGATAATTATAAATTTTACAATCATTTTTTAAATACATACTGCTCCAGAAAAAATCATTTTAATAGTTGGAGACACTGCAACCTCTTCAAACTGGTCTTTTGTAAACAATTTAAAAACTAAAAAAATTAATAAATAAAAATATAAATTTACTGTTTATATATATATATATATATATATATATATATATATATATATATATATATATATATATATATATATATATATATATATATATGTAATAAATATTGTGTCATGTCATATACAACATTTTATGTCATGCAAAATGCATGCAATTTTTAGTTTTTAAATTGTTTACAAAAGACCAGTTGGAAGAGGTTGCAGTGTCTTCAACTATAAAAATATATATATATATATATATATATATATATATATATATATATATATCTGTAATAAATATTGTGTCATGTCATATATCACATTTATTTTATATTTTATTAGAATAACCACTGATAAATATTTTTTTATTCAATGAAAACTACTTTTAAAAAACAAGAACACCAAAATCATTCAAACTTAACTTCAGTTATAGTGGCATTCATTTTACATACAACCCAACACTATCTATATTACAAACATATTATAACTAAATAAGAATATAATAACAAAAATATATAAAAGAACTAAAAGAAATAATAATAATAAAAATAAGAAATAAAAAAATCAATTTATAAGAACGTTATTCATTATACATACTAAATAATAAAGTTCCAATTATAAGTTGTTTATTATTTTGTTTAAATAGGACATAAAAAGGATTAAAAACAGTTGGCACTTAATAGACTTGCTAATTAGTAAAAAAACTTTTTTCAGAAAAATTATTCTATTAAATAAAGATACAAGATTTTGAACATATGTGAAAAATCTACTTCAAATAAGGAACCGAATTATGTTAAAGTAAGTGTAACCTAATGAATGATTAACCTGAGCCTAAATTGTATTTAATCAATATACTTTATAAATTACATTTTTTTACAAAAATAAAACAAAAAGCTCATCAGAATTTTGTTAAGGTTTTATCCATATTTTATCTAAAATTATATATATATATATATATAAATACCTGTACAAGTTTTATACACAGCATTGTATTCACACATTGTATTCATTGATTCTAATACCTTGACATTTGGTGCCAACAATTTTTGTACATAAAGCACAGGATAAACTTGTAAATGAGGTTAGTTGACAAATGGAACAAGTATTCATTTTAATTAAACTGAAACTAAACTGAAATAAAAGTGTTTTAGAAAAATAAATAAAATTAATTAAACGAAGATGAAAACAACCTAATCATTTTCTTAATCATACTCTTTTATTCCAAAGTATTTTAAAAAATTATATAACATATTGAATATATTAGAAGGAGCTTTGGATAAGCAGGAACCATTTACAATATAAAAGTCCTATAATGATTTAAAATAAAATTTGAAAAAAGTTTAGTTGAAACACTCTTGATCAATATAAAATGCTTTTAAAATGGTTTCATGTTAATGTTACTAATAATAATGCTTGGACAAATAAATAAAATTATTAAATATTGGCTTAATTTAAAAACAGATAAAAAAGTACCACATAGTTAAGAAATAAAACCATAAATAATTATTATCTTTATGTTATCATAATCAAATAAAAGTCTGATTTGAGATCCTAAATAATGCAATATTATATGTACGCATACTTATTAAATGTTATAGTTCTAAATCACAACATAAACTCGATTACTTTCACAAATAAAGCCCGTGACATAAGGGCGCAGAGAGCCCTTATGCTGCCAACAAACGGGCTCAAATTGCAGCATGAGGGCTCAAATTGCAGCATAAGGGCGCGTGAAGTAGCATGAGGGCTTTTTAAGTAGCGCCAGGGCTCATAAAATGCAGATTAAGGGCTCGCAAAAACTACTACTACTACTACTACTACTACTACTACTACTACTACTACTACTACTACTACTACTTTTGCTGAAATTGATTCAATAAAGACGTTTCAAGAAAGGCATTTTTTTGCACATTTCTTACTGGGTTTTTTTCTATGACTCCATTTGTAATAAATGGGTTTAAAAGGAAAAGTAATGACAAATGTGTCTCTAACTTCACATTATTTACTCAACATTATATATTAATTCAAAGCAAAGAAAAAAGCAGATACTAATTATTAATTATCGGACTTTTACTGATACTGGTGGTGAACTCTAAAAAATCAAGATGGTTCTTACGTGAAATTTTGTTCTGAGTTATGTGACAACAGCAAAAGACCCATCCATTTAAAATAGCTACTTAAGGACCCAGAAAAAAATGCTACCAGTTATAACCTTTGTGATCCAGCTTGTAAGGTTACATAAACATGTAAAAAAGATAAACCCCACCTATATGTTCATTGTATTCTATCGCATTAGCAGGACAATCGATTTCAACATATTCTTTTGCTTTCTTTCCAATTGATTTATTTTCGAAATCGGTTCTATTTCAACATGAGTTGATCACAGCTGCACTGTAGTGCCAAACTATCCATCCAACGAACAACATGTAATCTACTGTTAGCATCAACTCGGTAGTCATCATCAATCGGTAGTCACTATTGGCATCAAACTCGGTAGATCCGTCCTTCTTTTTTCAATTCTTTCTCCGATTTGAGGTCACATTCTTTAGTCTGATTTGATTGGATAGTTCCAATAGACCAAATACCTGATTTTTGAAGCTGTGTGCGTAATTCAAGGAAGATTAACCATTTATCCGACTACCATCAAACAACAGAAAATCGTAAGTCAACCCGCTAACTCTAATTTTAAAAATAGTAATAAAAATATTATTAACAATAATAATATTTATTATTATTGTTGTTGTTTTTATTGATATTCATCCTTTTGTTATCATTAATTTTATTACTATTATTATTGCTATTATTATAAATATTTTTGATTCTACTATAATTGATCACAATTAAAATAGACTCAAATATCATTTTTAAAGTGTCTATTTCAAACTAGGAAAATTAAATTATATTCAGGGATTTGAATTCTAGGGAACTCTAGAACTTACATCCCTGAATATTATTGTTTATTATATTTGGCATTAACATATTATAATTGATAGGATACTTTTTTTTTTAGTAATAATATTTTTTTTATTCATATCATTTATTATTATTTTTATATTTTTATTAAAATTTAATTTTATTATTTTTTACAGATTTACACATTTTATTATTTCTTACACACTTGAGTAGTTGAAGATGTTATTCCTCATAGTTGGATTGAAGCAGGTGTATTGCGTTGGCCACCAAAAGGATTTTTATGGAAAAAAGCAATGAGTGAAAATATTCTTTCATGTGATAATTTGCTATTTTTTCTAATTTTAAAAATAAAGTTGACACATGGTCAGTTACTTAAATCTCCTATTTTAATATTTATTTATTAATTCAGACATAACCTATGTTATGTTATGTAATACATTTTATATTTGTATTAATTTAGTAGTTTAAAAATATTTTGTAGCTGATAAATCTGAGTGCACGGTATGTGAGTGCATACAACTCAGGATAAAGGAATAAAGGGGAAAGAAAAGGATGGCAATGAGATTGAGTGTCAAGAAGTTGAAATTAATTTACCGGTCCTTCATGATGATACAAATTCAAAGCACTTTTTAAACAATAATACTTCATACCAAAAGCGAAAAACACATTAAAAAAGTGATTGCGCACATTACAAAAGTGATTACGCACATTAAAAAAGTGATTACGCACATTAAAAAAGTGATTGCGCGCATTAAAAAAGTGATTACGCACATTATAAAAGTGATTGCGCACATTAAAAAAGTGATTGCGCACATTAAAAAAGTAATTGTGCACATTAAAAAAGTGATTGCGCACATTAAAAAAGTGATTGCAATGATTGTGACAAATCAACATTGAAATCTCCAATTATCAGAAAGGTTTCAAAACAAAAATGTTTCTATCACAAACGGCAATTACATAATAATTTATTTACTTTAAATAAAAATTTTGTAAAACTTACAGGTGGCTTATAGTAGTGGTATATATCAGGGTTGTCAAAATGTTAAAAATCATTGAAAAGGTAGGAAATTTTTTTAGGTCAGTGAAAATTTATGGAGCTAATAAAAATAAAAATAAAAATAATTTTCAGAACAAACCGAAGAAAACTTTTAACTTATTAAATTTTTTTCCACAATTTATTTTTATTGGTTATTTTTATTTTGTTTGTCAGCAAAAGTAGGTGGCCAGCCTGTATAAATTATTAAATAAAACAGTAGCATTAAGCGAAGATAAAAAAGTGGTGGAGTCTACAGTTCCTACACCTCAGGTATTGCACAATTGTAATTCTGAAAACTGAAGTTTGAAAAAAGAACATTAAATTGTTTGATAAATAGAAAAAGAACATTAAATTTTTTAAGTTTTCAACAACGATTTTTAGCATTTCAAGAAAAAGTTGTTCAATGGATGAGGGATATATTCAATTATTTATCTTTACGAACAACTTCAATTTCTCAACAAACTCCATCTTTATTTGAATGTATAATATCAAAAGAAAAGTTTTTTCTGTTTGAAGAAAAAATGAAATCGGTTTTATTCCTAGAAGAAAATGAAATCGGTTTCATTCCTAGACGAAAATGAAATCGGTTTCATTCCTAGAAAAAAAAGGTAAGATTATTATATATCGATATTAATTAATACGTCGGTACACACGCGCGCGTGTGTGTGTTAGGGAACTAAAATCTTTAATGTAACTTTTACTTCTTAGATTGTACAACTAAAGCCTATAGGAGGTCTTAATTACAAAAATATGAACAAGAACATAATCAAACGATTTTTCACCGTAGAAAAAAGTAATATAAAAAAATAATATTATGGTATAAAAAAAATATTTTTATATAAAGTCATATAAAAAATAATATTGATACTGTATGTTTTATTGCTGATATATTGTTCCTTTTACATTTTGGTTATAATTATCTTAAATGTAAAAAAATATAAGATATCATTTTAAATATAATTTAAGTGTAGAATCTGTTTTATAATCTGTTTTCGAATCGGTACGTAATACTGCAAATGCCTAAAGAACATCTAATAGACATCTCGGCAAGATGTAAACAAATAGACTTCTTAAGACGTTCTGTAGACGCTCAGGCGAGTTTTCAAATAGACGTCTATGAGACATCTGATACTAGACTTCTTAACGACGTCTGTCGCAATACGTCTTACAGACTTCTATACGACACGTCTCAAAGATGTTAACAAACAAATAGACGTCTTTAGACCTACTTCAGACTCTTACTTCAGTTACGGTTAGCGTGTTTTGATTTTCAAGGTTACCATCTTTTGATTTTCAAGGTAAGCGTCTTTTGATTAGCAAGGTTAGCGTTCTTTTGTTGTATTCAATATGAAAACTTGAATTTAAAAAAACATAACAAAAAAAAAACCATACCTAGTAACCTAGCAACCTAGTGAGCTTTTATTGGCTATCACTAAGGATGTACCTATTGTAATTTTTAGGCCATTTCGATTCCGGATGAAATTACATAATTTCAGGCCGGATTGTCGGAACTTATCTTTTATCTTTTTTCAAAAACATGTGACAGACTGTGTAAATTAAATCAAAAAATCATTGTTCTACAGGGCAGTGATAATCTATTGGTAAACCAAGGTAAAAAATTACAAAGTTCTTACCAAATACATTGTAATTGTATTCGCAGTATTTAATTATGTAAAGATTTTTAAAAGTTTAGGAAGATTGTGGTGTAAAAAGAGTTGCTATTCAGTTTTGCGCAACATACTTGTTATTTTTCATCAAAAATGTTACCTGCTTCTGAGAATATTATAAGATATTCATTTTGCAATTTTGGTCTTATCAACAATTCAAAGTTAATGTTTAGTTTTTAGTGATTAAAAAGTAGTGTTCGCCATCCTTGTCAAACCCCAGGCAGTAGAGAGACATGTCAAGCTAGATTCCGAAGCATCAAAAGTGGTTTATGGTTTTTAGTGATTAAAAATTAGTGTTCGCCATCCTTGTCAAACCCCAGACAGTGGTTTGACAAGGATGGCGAACACTAATTTTTAATCACTTGAAATCTTGAAAATTTTTAATCACTTGGAATCTTGAAATCTTGCTTGAAATCTTTGCAGCCTCCTGAAATCTTGCTTGAAATCTTTGCAGTCTCCTGAGAAAGTGAAACTTGCACAGGAGAATGCAAAGATTTCAAGCGGGCTTTAATGAATCTATTGCGTTTTTCCGGATCATAAACCACTTTTGATGCTTCTGAATCTAGCTTGGCAAGTCTCTCTACTGTCTGGGGTTTGACAAGGATGGCGAACACTAATTTTTAATCACTAGAAACCAAACTTTAAATTTGAATTGTTAATAAGTCCAGAATTGCATAATGAATGGCCAACAGGACAAACGGTAGCACTTTCAGCAGTGCACAAGTCGAACAGGTATTTCTGATATGTAATTAAGTTGTCAGAATTTACACTCGATGGTAGAACACAGTTTATCGGTATATAGTCCATG